AGATGGGAATGGATGCAGTTTGATGGAGATAATGAGCGAGCCTTCCGGGTGGACGATTTCTTCTGACCAAAAGATGAGCCACAGGGTAGTCGACTGCGGAGCTCCCTTCGTAGGTGGTTGTAACTTAGGTTTCCAACAAGCACCGCGTACTCGCCCACTTCAGGCGCAGCAGGAGCACTCTGGACTGCGATACCTACAAGGCCGTGGATGAACCAAAGGTGAGTTGCAAGTGCGGTCGAAAGCAACCGTACTTGCATTTTTCATGTATACCGGCTTGGGGTAAGTGCACTCGCTCGAAAGCCTTGAAAGAATAACTAACACCGACTACATTCTGGCTGCCTCCAAATCACTTCATCAACCTCACATTTACTGCAAGGTAACACTCGACACCTCACAATAACAAGCCGTGCTCTGCATTGTTTTTTGGTTCCTCTTCCCAGGGCGCTTATTCCTTTTTGGTGGCTATTCGCATATCCTCATTGTACTCTTCTACCTCATCTCCATTTGCAGCGCTTCATGCTTCGGCTATCGCGACCCGGGTATCGAAGCACGATTCTAACACTGGTCTTGTCGACAATCCTCTCTATCGTCACCTTCCTCTCTCAGCCGCTGGGCGCTGTATTCGTATCATCACATCGACAAGATGAGGTATGTGAGGTGCTCTCAATGGTGGACGATCCACCGAGCATATTCCGCCCGGCGTTCCGAGCTACTTAGCTTATCCAAAGGGGATCGCATGATGGCTGCGTCACCTCTATCACACGCCCATCCTATGCCCAACCTCCCCGCACTTGTCGCTGCACCGAGCTGTCCCCGCACGCTCCTACTGGCTGTGTTTCAGCGTCTGTCTATCTGTACTGCAGGGGTACTCCCGTGCTCTGCCTTAGCTCCCCCCTCAAGAGCTTCGAGTCCGTCTCTGCTTTCAAACATTCCCGAGGTCAAAGCTAACATGAACACCCTCCTTTCGTAGTCTGAACGACTCCAAAACCCTTAATCAACGCCTCAACGACGCCTTTCGAGCTTCCCAGTCTTTAGAAGAACAAGACGCCGGTCCACTCCCAACTGCCTCGCGATCCGATCATCACCACTTATCGGTGCCCCATCGTATTCGTCGATTGAACAACCGATCAGCTCCACCTGGTACCGTCGAGCAATTGAAACAGTCCGGAGACCGGCTACTCGACAGCTTCGCTGGACAGACCACTATGGGCGGCGGAAAAGAACTCAAGAGCAAGAGCTCTTACCCAGCTCTCGCATCTCGACCTGTCGGACAATGGATCTCAAAGCTCTACAAGGATAGAATTAACCAATTCTACTCTACCGGGCAATGGGAAAAGCACAATCTCCTGGCGTGCGTAACCCCCCACAACGCCCCGTAGTAAAGCTGGGGAACGTCCCGCTAATTGCGCTATAGCATGATGACGGAGGGTACCGCATCGGGCGAACCTCATGTTAAACTGTCCGTTTGGGACGCTCCCGAAACCACTCGACCAACGTTCAAGGACGCTGTTTCGCACGAATTCAAAAAGACCGAGGTGGGCGCATGGTTTGGCCCATCATGGTCGACACATTGGTTCAAGGTTGTCTTGACCGTTCCGAAAGAACTTCGCGACAAGGACCTGCTTGAACTCCACTGGGATGCCAATAATGAAGGCCTCATCTGGACCGAGGACGGCAAGCCGCTGCAGGGTCTTACTGGGGGTGGCGAGCGGGTAGAATGGATCCTGCCCAAGGAGTTCAGGGACGGCAAGGAGCACACCATCTACATCGAGATGGCCTGCAATGGCATGTTCGGAAACGCTCCCGGTGGAGACTCGATCCAGCCTCCAGACCCAAACAAGTACTTCCAACTGGGACGGGCTGACATAGTCGCTGTCAACCCGGAGGCACGAGCACTTTACTTTGATATCTGGATCATCGGCGATGCTGCACGGGAGTTTCCTCAGGACTCGTGGGAGCAGCACAGAGCTCTCAAGGTTGCCACCGATGTCATTGACGCCTTTGAGCTCGGCAACAAGGAATCGATCGTAAAGTGTCGAAAGATTGCCCAGGAGTACCTTGGCTCGAATGTCGACTCGCACAAAGTCTACAGCGATGACAAAGAGCCTCAAGTCTATGGCATTGGCCATTGCCATATCGACAGCTGTTGGCTGTGGCCTTGGGCTGAGACCAAGCGTAAAGTCGTCAGGTCTTGGTCTAACCAGTGCGATTTAATGGATCGGTACCCGGAGCTAAACTTTGCTTGCTCGCAAGCCCAGCAATACAAGTGGTTGAAGGAGCTGTACCCCTACGCCTTTGATCGTGTCAAGACGAAGGTCAAGGAGGGCCGATTCCATCCTATCGGAGGTAGCTGGGTTGAGCACGACACCAACATGCCCAGTGGAGAGTCTCTTGTGCGACAATTCCTATACGGACAGAGATTCTTTGAGAGCAACTTTGGCGAGCGTTGCCAGACCTTCTGGCTTCCCGACACCTTTGGATACGCTGCTCAGCTTCCACAGCTATGCCGACTTGCTGGCATGAATCGCTTCCTCACCCAGAAGCTCAGCTGGAACAACATCAACAACTTCCCACACACCACATTCAACTGGGTTGCTCTTGATGGTAGCCAAGTAATCTGCCACATGCCGCCGTCAGAGACCTACACTGCCGAAGCACACTTTGGCGACGTCAAGCGCAGTGTCAGCCAGCACAAGTCGATGGACCAGGACCACACCTCCTTGCTTGTATTCGGAAAGGGCGATGGTGGCGGCGGCCCTACTTGGCAGCATCTCGAAAAACTCCGCAGGTGTCGCGGTATCTCCGATCAGATTGGCATGTTGCCTAGAGTGCAGATGGGCAACAGTGTCGATGACTTCTTCGACAAGCTCCAGCCGAAAGCCACAGAGTTCGTCACCTGGTATGGCGAGCTCTACTTCGAGCTTCACCGCGGTACGTATACCACGCAGGCGAACAATAAGCTCAACAACCGCAAGTCAGAGGTTCTGCTCAGAGAAGTGGAACTTCTTGCCACTATTGCGACGCTCAATGATACTAGCAAGAGCTACAAGTACCCGAAGAAGGAAATTGATGATATGTGGGAGGCTGTCTTGCTCTGCCAATTCCACGATTGTCTTCCGGGTAGCTCCATCGAGATGTGCTATGATGATTCAGACGAGGTAAGCCTCGACGCAGCTGATACTACCTGAACTATTACTGACTAGACTGGCTAGCTCTACGACATGGTCTTCAAGACTGGCAAAAAAATACTCGAGGATATTCACAGTGTCTTTGGAGCGTCCACCGCCACCACCGGCCGTCTTAGTGAGACAGTCGCCCTGAATACTCTCCCTTGGCACCGCAAGGAGGTTGTCGAAATCTCCGAGACCGAGGCGGGCGTTGCCTGTGGCGAGGGCCAGTTATTGACCATTCGTCCCTTCAAGATCTCTGAAGAAGAGCCAGCAGTTACGATTGAAGAAGTCAGCAGCGGCGTCTTCGTCTTGCAGAACGATCAGCTTAAGGTCAAGGTCGAGAACGGCACCATTACGTCCCTCTACGATCGCAATGCCGATCGCGAAGTGATCGCAAAGGGAGGCAAAGCCAACCAATATGTCATTTTTGATGACAAGCCTCTATACTGGCAAGCTTGGGATGTCGAGGTTTACCACCTCGACACAAGAAAGGAGCTCCCAAGCGGCACAACCTCAATCACGGAGCAAAAGGCCCATCGCGTCAGCTTGACTACTCAGATCAAGATCAGCGAAGAGAGTTCGATCAAGTCTACTATTAGTCTCTCGGCCGCCCTCAAGGGGCAACAGTCATGGGTCGAGTGCAGTGCTGAAGTTGACTGGCACGAGACCATGAAGTTCCTCAAGGTCGAATTCCCCGTGGACGTCAGAAATACCGAGGCCTCTTACGAAACAGCGTATGGTCTTGTGAAGCGACCTACTCATTACAACACTAGGTATGCTTTTCCTGACACATCATGGACAAACTTATGCTAATGAATTGTACAGCTGGGATATGGCCAAGTTCGAGGTCTGCTGCCATCGTTTCGCTGATCTCTCTGAGCACAACTACGGAGTTTCCATCCTCAATGATAGCAAGTATGGTTTCGCCACTGTCGGTAACCTGCAGCGTCTCTCTCTTCTTCGGTCTCCCAAGGCTCCGGATGCTCACGCTGACATGGGAACCCACCAAATTCGCTGGGCAATCTTCCCTCACGAAGGAACACTGAGCTCCTCTACTGTGCGGGCAGCCTATGCCTTCAACAGCCCTCTGAAGCTACTCTCTGCACCCAGTGCCGTGCAGGCATCCCTCAACAAGAGCCCTGTAAAGCTCACTGGGGATGGCTCCTTGATTCTCGATACCGTCAAGCGTGGCGAGGATGATGAGGATGTAACGCGTGGCGAGCTCCCCAAGCGCAAGGGCCGCAACGTTATTCTCCGTGTGTACGACAGTCTCGGCGGCAAGAGCAAGGGCGTTATTGAGACGACTTGGGACGTCAAGCGCGTTTTCAAGTGCAACCTTTTGGAGGACGACATTGAGGAAATCAAGATTGACGGTGGAAAGTTCTCGATTACTCTGCGACCCTTTGAGATCGCAACATACCGCCTCGAATTGTAGGATGAAGACTTGAGCGACTGCGGTCTCGATCACGAGTGTCCTTCGGATGAGGATGAGTATGACGAAGTGAACGAACAGCTCGCCTCCGCCTTGAGCGAGATCCTGGACCATGAGTATGTACACTTGGGTTAGGAGGCGCTGCGATGGATAACGAAGGCTTTTGATAGGCGTTTGGGACGTGAATACCTGTGCTCCGAAAAAAACTCTTACAAAAAAAAAACAGAATATCTCTCTAGCTCCTTTGCCTACATACGCCCTCCCTAGAACGCCGTGGTGACATGAAGCCTAACAAATCTTCCCTGGGAATAGTAGAAAGATGAACCATCGTCATACAATACATCACTCTTTGCGCAAGCCTCTTGGGTTTGTTTGTCCTTTGGGTCTGTTTACCCATCTCACAAGGATCCGTCTTGAGGCAAATCCTCGATGACGCTCTCCACCAAGTCAATGAGCTCATCAATGTCCGGTCTCTCAGTAGGCTCAACATTGAGACATTTCCTCACGACATCGCGAATAGGCTCGCTAATTTTGACTTCTCCGGCCCCGGCCCCGGCGTCCGCCGTGGCGGCGGCTTTGCCCTTCATGCCGCCGCTGGTGCCGGTGCGCTTGATGCCCTCGTCGGGAAAGCGCCAGTCGCCGCCGAGGACGCACATGCTGAGGGAGCCGCCCGTCTCGTCGGAGCGGGCCTCAAAGGGGGACTTGCCGACGAGGCAGGCGTAGAGGGTGCAGCCCATGGACCAGATGTCGACTTTTGTGTCGATGACGGTTCCCGTACGGACGTCGAAGAGTTCCGGGGCGCGGTAGGGCATCGTGCTGTGCTCGGCGGCCGTGTCCTGGACCGCGATGGCGAGGGAGTGGGATGTTATTGGGATCGGGGAGGGGGCGATGGAGCCCAAGTCCATTAGGATTGGGTTCGAGCCCGAGTCGTCAATCATGATGTTGCCTGTTTTCGGTCGTAGTGTTAGCTCTCGGACGTCTTTCTTCCCGAAGAGTACATAGAGGTGATTATGAATTAGGGGACAACGAACCTGGCTTGATGTCCCGATGCGCGTACGACTTTACGTCCCCGGACCCGGGCGTCTCGCCCTCCATCAGCGGCCTTTGCTGCTCGTTCTCGTCCTCTTCGTCGGCGCCCGCGGCGGCGGCCATGCTGGAGACGCGCTTCCCGCCCTTGTTCTTCTTCCCGCTCTTCTTGCGCTTCGGCCCGGCGCCCTGGTCGTCTTCGTCGCCGTTGCCCATCTCCATCCTCTCCATTGCGGCGGGCTGTGATTGAGATTGCCCGCCGCCGCCGCCGGTGTAGTGGTGCATCTCCCTAAGCGCCTTGCACACCCCGAGAAACAGGAGCATGAGCCTGCGCTCGGGGAACGCGGTGTGGTTTACCAGGTTGGCGTTGATGAGGTCCTGGAGGTTGCCACGGCGGTAGTAGGGGAGCAGGACGTAGACCGTCTTGGAGCCCGGCTCGCCGCCGCGCTCGGTGGCGATGGCGTGGTCGACGCCGTGGATGATGCCCGGGCTGCGGGCGAAGAGGCGGTAGGCGTCGACCTCCTTCATGGCCTGGGCGACCGACTCTGCGCCAAAGGGGCATCGGATCTTTTTGAGGGCGAATTCTTCGGCGGTTTGGGTGTCTTGGACGAGGTAGACGTAGGAGAAGCCGCCCTGAGGTGTTTCGCGAATGATTAGTCCATTAACCCAGTAGAAAAAGAGGAGCGCAAAGAAAGCTGTCTTACCTCGCCCAGCAGACGGAGAATCTTGAAGCTCCGACTGTTGATCTTGAGTGTCGGCGAGCCGGGGAAGCAGTTGAGGCAGTTGCCAAAGGAGTAGAGCACGTCGAGGAATATTTGCGCCATCTTGGGGGGCTGATGGGTATTGCTTGCGTAAAACGACGGGGGGTTCAACCCGGTACAGTACGGTGATCTAAGGACTTGTCGCCGAGTTCGCGTATGGTAGACGTTGAAGCGTTGGTGTGTTGCAGACCTTAGAGATTCCGCAGTCGTCCGTTCTTGGTCGGGTGGGTTAGTGGTGATCGGACACTTTTGAGAAGAGAAAGCGTATTCTCTACCCGGAACTGGGAGTCCGTGACGAATGAGGTCGGGCGAATTGCGTCGTCAACAAAGTCTCGCGATTGAAACTAACGCAGCCAGACAATTGAAACGACGAAAAAGAAGCTCAACGGGGTCGTATGCTGTAAGATCGTGGGATTCTGCGTGGGCGCGCGATTGGTGAAACAAGAATTAGGACAGCTAATAGCTTGCCCACTTGCTGCTTGCTTGTTTTCCCCCCGGTAACCAAAGTGGGCAGGAAGCTGACGGTTGACGGGGACGCTGACGCAGGTCCGTAGTGCTGCGGTACGGTCCACGTCCAGTAGTGCGCTTCCCAGGATCCGCTTTCGGGGAACGCGGGACTCGGGGAGGGCCGTTGTCGAGTCTGCAATCAAGCATACAGATACTTTAGTGTAAAGTCGCCGGGTGAAGAATGCGACTAATTCTTTGCTTGCCGCAAGCAATTGTGTAGGACGAGATCACTCTTTTCAATATGAATTCAAAGACAAAATAAATACGACGAAAACTTTGACACGATCTGAAGCGACTTTTCCAAGGGGAGAGAAACATCAGATCAACAACGGAGTAGGTACCTCACCAAAATGTGCCGGCCACCCAATCCCCAGCTCTGGGCTGCGCCCTGCTAAGGATTCGAGGTACGAATCCCCCGTGGTGCGCAAAGGCCGTGAAACGCCACCGGGGACCCTCTGGGGTGGAGAAACGTGGACGAGCATACACTGGAGAGCGGCATTGAACACCAGAGGCCCCCGGCCGGCAGCGACGGGAAGACCCTTGTCGTCTGAATGCAATCCGTCCTCTGTGAACACTCGATGAAATTGACTTCTCGGCCAAAGAGCTTCGCAGCCTGCAAGTCTCCAGTCACTGAATCACTCTTCTAATGTTGTTTATGGGTGTCTGCAATGGATTCATTATTCATGTTTTGAAGGTCTACTACTATTAGTATTATAGAAACCTCTCGGGGCGAACTGAATGTCAACAAAGCAGGCCAATGACCTCATGCTACCATCCCCTGCTGTCGGTTAACTTCAATATGCGAATCCAACTCCGCGAAACACAATTCTCATCGAGCTGTGGTATCATCGCTACAAATGCTATCACGAACGAAAAACCTCCATCGCTCTAGCCGCCCTTGAATCCTACACAAAATGGGAGACACCGCACTCTGATATTGAAAGACCGGTCAAGACAGGCACACTGGAGTGGCCATGCCCTTCTTGCAACCCAAAACAACGCTTGCTGTCGAGATTCAGAGCCCATCCGCCTAGAATGCATCTTCAAACGGACAATCGACGCTTTCGTGTCCATCTCTCTCACATAGGGCACACCACTTGGAGTCGTCGACAATCCCGCTCTCCTTTCCAGCCACAGGGCCGGAGTCCATCGGATTCGGGAAGATCTTGACGGTCGGCGGAGGAGCCAGTGGCTTGGACTTGATTGGCGATAGAGGAGCCGGCTTGTCCTCGGCGGGGATGGGCTTCAGGTCCTCCTTGATGGCTTTGCCGGCATCGCCGTTGGCCTTGCCACCCTCGTTGCCAAACATGTTGGTGCAAGTAAGGATATCGTGTCCGCCAGTCTCGCAAATTTCGCACCAGAGAGTACTGTTATCCGTGACTGAAGAGTAGGCGTCGCTTTCGGGCATCGTGTCCAGTGTACGAACACGCTTGTGCGTCGCCGTAGGAGACTGGGGCTCGCTGTTGCGCATCAAGATGACGGTATCCCGAGAATCGCGCAGTGAAGAACGCTGCGCACCGCCGTTGGTAAGAGGTCCGGTGAGCTGAGTCGTGACGCTTCCCCTACGAAGCCTCTCCACTTCCCGCTCAAGCTCCTCCTCGCGACGGCTCTTGTCTTTCACGACATCGTTGAGCTCTGCCAGCTCGAGCTCCAGTCTTTCACGAGCCATCGCGTTCTCGCGTACGGAAGGGTCTTCAGCTTTGTCGGCTCCAGGAACAGAATCGCGACTGAGAGAGTGGATGATCGCCTTAAGACCCCGAATCTCATCTTCCTTCTGCTCCAATTCCTTGGAAACGGAGCCACGGTCTCCATTGCTTGAGCCTGTAGTGCCGTTCATTCCGGCTGACGCCTTTTCGCGCTCCCTGCGCAGCTCGGTTCGTGTGCGCTCAACTTCACCGCGGAGGAATTCGACCTCCCCTCTTGCTTCCGCTTCACCGCGTCGTGCGTCCTCGAGACCCTCCTCGAGCTCTTGAACCAACTCCTCGAGCTGCTTCAACTGACGAGCAACCGAATCTACATCATCCGTCCGTGATTCGAGCTCTCGCATTTCCATCATCAACTCGTCAATGCGCTTTTCGTACACTCGTTCGGTTTCGGAACTAGCCATTTCGAGGGTGTCGATGGTGCTTCGGAAGTCGGCTCGGTGTGCGTCGAACTCGGCAGTGAGCATCGCAATCTTCTCATTCTTTTCTCGGACCAATGCGCGAAGTTGCATCGAGTCCTTATCGTCGAGACTGTTGCGCTTGGGTGCTGACAGATCCGAACTCTCCATAAGAGTCTGAAGCTCGGTCAAGCTACTCTCCATCTCCGCCAGTGTAGATGCTTGATCCCTCAACTGCCTTTCACGGTCGTCCAGTTGTGCTCTAAGCCGATCGACCTCGTCGTCGTTTTGAGCTCGTGATGCAGCTCTTGATCCGGCTCCAGCCCGCGACGGTACTCTGAATTTGGAGCTGTACGAAGATACCGAATTGGTGCTTCCATTGGTCTGTGTTCGCTGCAGGGTGGCTGGTGGTTGGGGCATCGGCTCCTCGTCAAACATTGACGTTTGGCCAAGGGCGGAGGCACTACGTGGACCAACACTTGGCTTTCTATCCAATCGTGAACCTTTGCTCGGGTCTCCAGCCGTTCCACGAACGCTCTGCGCGAAGCGATTCGGGGCGGGAGAGCTGTATTTGGAAGGCACCTTTCCGGGCGTCGCCAGTGATGGTCTCGGTCCTGGGGTCATCTGTAATTTTCGTACAGGTGACTCTGGGCGTACAGAAGGCCTGCTCATCGACTTCTTCAGTTGGGGACTGACTGATCGACCGGGGGCAATGCCAGGGCCAACAGATTTGCTGAATAGCGGCACTGACGGCGTCGGAGGTGTGTTCGTCGAGTTCTGCGTGCCGACCTTGAGACCGCCCATGGTGCTGGCAGTGGGAGTGTGAGGAAACGAGCTGGAGGACGAGCCAGGAGGAGAGTCTCGTCTCACAGCCTTGTTGAGAGGGAGAAAGATGCCTGCGCCAGGAAGAGTCGTAGTAAAGTAGGAAACACTATATTAAGTCAGGCGCGAATGTTATTGACCAACTGGTTGGGCGCAAACTTACCCTTCTACCTCGCCCGAGTTCTTGCCCCGCTGAGAGAACTCGGGATGCAACTCGACACCAGCGAAAGTGCCCTTTTTTCCATCCACAGAACCGATGAAACGGACGGTGCCCAACATGTTGCCCGGGACTTCAACGACATCGCCGAGAACGAAGTCGGTCCCGGCCCTACCGGGCGTGGCGGGTGGCATCTTGCGATCGGGCGACTCGGCTAGCACGCTGTTGTAGGCATAGGACTCGCTTACATCGGGGATCGAGGCGAGAGACTTGGGAGTAAGAGCAGCCAAGGAGGATTTGCGCGGGAGCGATTGATGCGAGGGCGTAAGTCGCGAATGTGTGTTGTAGAGGGAATTAAGACTGGGAGAGGAAGCGGTAGTGGAGGAGGCGAAGTTGCTAGTGAAGCTGGTAGCTTTGCGAAGAGTTCGCGGCGGGTGGGCAAGACTTCTATGGGTCGGCGCGTATGCGGCGGTCGCTGTTGTTGTGGTGACGGACATGATGGACAGTCAGGTCGGGTCGATTTGGGTGTTTTAAGGCCAGACAGATACAGAAAATTATTGGGCGCGGGTGCTCGCGTACAGGGAGCCGGCCAGTAATGCGACCGCTAGATTGCGCGCTGGATGGCAGCTCTACTGGCCTTGGCTCACTATTAGGCGGCGCAGGTAAGACCAGGTTCCAGGTTGTGATGGTGGTGTTGATTCCCGAACGCCCCACTCGTCGCCCGCAAGGTAAGGTATCTTAGGGCCAACGTCAACTAAGGTTGCTTGCCTTAGTCCCAATAGCAGCCGAGCAGCGAATGAGAGGCGCGACGCAGGCCGTGTTGGGCGACAGAACGGGAGGGTTGATTCGTAAATGTCTGACAGCCTTGGGTGGGAAAAGCAAGCGCAAAGAAGTGGCTGGCGGACAGGACGAATTTCGGTCGATTGGGCAATAGGCAGGAAACTGGCAGATAGACTGACGGACGCTATACCGAAAGAGCGCTAAGAGCTAAAGAACCGTGAGGTGTGATCGTCTCGGGTCCTTGGTCGTGTCTTTGACGTGGAGAATGATTTGTCCCTAACAGTCGTTGCGAGCTCGTCTTTCGATGAGCCTGACAGATCATCTGGCAGCTCGAACAGCTTGACCAGCGCCGACTGATACTGGGGGTTATGTATGAGTTGGAGAGAGAGAGCGAGAGAGAGAGAGAGAGAGAGGCCCGGGCAAAGATACCAGGGCAGTCGGCAACGACGGCGACGATGAGAAGACGAAGGACAAAAGAAGCCCAGCGCAAGCCAAAGAGAAAAAGTGGTCGCCAGACGAGGGGCTTTTTGTGACGCTCTGAGCCTCCTTTCCCCTTGTGAGCCCTTGTGAAAGAGCACGGCCGTCCAGACTGCTTGGGATGGGGTCTCAGACGTCGACCACTTTTTGGTTCAGCTCTTTGGGTAAGGATCCGTAGACCAACGGGGTGCAGGGGTGATGGATGTCAAGGGGAGCGGG